AAGAGGCACACAGAGAAAGAAATCTCATCCCTAAAAGATCTCACCCCTATGGGCCCACAGCACAAACAGCACTGGCGGGGGCTGCATTTGCTCTCCAAGGGCTGCAGACGTTTCTGATCATCATGACAGAGGGGTGCCCCTGGCATCCAGTAGTAGAGGCCAGGGATACTGCTCAACATTGTACAACGCACAGGACAGCCCCACAAGAAAAAAAAAAAAAAAAGATCTAGCCCCAAATGTCAGCAATGCTGAGGCTGAGACACCCCAGATTACAGTATGTTCAAAAGGCCAAGGAAGATAGTCTCTGAATTATCAGCAACACCCGTAATGACTTGGCTGTGGCTCTAATGGCTGAACTTCTGCTTGTGGGCTTTTATACACTCCCACCTTAAAGTTCAAAGTTATTGCTCACTAAATACACCACTAACTGGTTATCCTTAACCACATGCGTATGGTCCCTGCTGGCCCACGTGACTAGTAACCATTCCGCACTGTGCACACATGAAAGCTTTATTTGTTTGGGAGTTGCTGCCAAAATTTGTGGTGTTGGCTGTGCTGAGACACAGGAAAACAGCAGGAAGAGAAGTAGAAGTAAAAATCTTATATGGAGTAAAAATCTTATAAGCCTAATGGCATCATTAGGCTTATGATGCCTTAACAACTTTACGAATAAGAATGCAAGTGTATAGACTCTACTCTAAATTAGAATCTAAACAGATTCTACTCCAGCTTTTTGTCTAGGAGTCTTCTTCCCTCCCTTCTTTCCATTATCAGCAGCTATAAAGAATAAAAGAAGACAGGAAGGAGCTTGGAAATGAGTATGTCACCTGTTCAGCATGAGAGCTGAACCTGAAAATCTCTGAGGCGGTGCTATGAAAATTAAAACAGAGAAAACCAGGACATGTCAAAATGGATCAGACTTTTCCTTTTCTTTAGTCACAGAATTGCAACACATGACAATGATAATTTTGGGGTCATGATTCAGAGAGTTGGGGTTAGCTTCAAGGATAAAGTGGACGGGAGTGCAGGGAGATAGAGTCCCTTATGGAAAACTTTCCCGACACACCCACGCACGCACAGACGCAAGTGCACACACACGCACACAGACACAGACACACACACAAACGCACACACACGCACACACCATAGCTGGTTCTGAGTTTAGGAGAGCTTGTTAAGCAGATGGTCTGAGCTAGAAAAATAAGTTTATAAGAAATGAATAAGAGAAAGAAAATGTTCCAAATGGATGGCAGAAGAAAAACTGGGTGTGGCTCTGTCATTTATGGGCAAATACTAACTCAAGAATTGTTCACGTTTTCGAAAGTTCATCTGAACTGGAAGCAACAACAGCACAAGCAGAGGAGGGAAATAAAAGTCGTTCACTGACTGCTGGCTATTAGGACCTTTGGAAATTCAGTCCAATGCTCTATTTTAAGGAGGAAAAAAAATGGTTCAGAAAAGCTGATCATCTTGCCCAACAGCACTCTGAGATTTAGGGACACAGGTTGGTCTTGGGATTCCCCAGGCAGCCCACTAACCATGCTGTGCTGTCTATAAGCAGGAAGGCAGTAAAAGTCATGATGGTGAGGGGCAGAGGGGGTGGGCTGTCCAGGTGACTGGGAGGTGGGAGGGAAAAGAGGAAGTGAAGGTGGTGGGGAAGGAACACCCCAGAAGCAAGGGATAGGAAGGGTCCTATCCTACCCATGGGGGACAATTTGGGCCCCAAGGGGGGCTTCCTCCACATGGGGCTCTGGTACCTGTTATGGCCCAGAAGACATCAACAAGGAGGGAAATGACTCAGATGGAGTCTGCAAGTTCTTTTCAAAATGTCAGCCTTCCTTAGAGCCTCACTACTGTCTCCTCAGTCTTCTGGAATTTGTGATCTTAGTCCACAAATATTTACTGAACACCTATTTTGTGCCAGGCCCTGTCCCTGGCCATGTGGCTGCAGCAGTGAATAAGACAGACAAGGTCCTTTTCCTCTGCAGGATGCTTTCTGGTGAGACAGATAGCAAATAAATACGAGAATGTCCACTCATCTTAAGTGCTATGAAGAAAACAATACAGGGTAATATGATGGTGACTGGAGGATATCTCCTTTAGACTGGGTGGTCAGGAAAAGCCTCTTTGAGGAGGTGACATTTGGGCTGGGAGCTTGAAGAGAAGAGCCAGCTAGGGACTGAGATGGCTGGGTGGAGAGCACAGCCCACACAAAGGCTCAAGGCCATGGTGAAGTGATCAAGCGCCAAGGGTGGCACGTTCAAGGGACACACAGAAAGTCTGCTTGGCTGCGACTCGGGAAAGGAGGAGCATATGAAATGAGGTCATCGGAGGTGAGCCCGGCCGTACCAGAATGAGGCATCTGTTCATTTAACAAATAATTATCAAGCACCCACAATGTGCAGGGCATTGCTGAGGGTATAAAAGTGAAACGGCTAATCGCCTAGTTCAAGGATTCTGTCCGCAGGGAAGAAGTCAGGAGTTTAGTAAGGGTGACAGAATACTTACACAATGCTGCTACAGGTTAGAAAGTGTTCCACTCCAGGCAGAACCACAACGCAGACATTACCGTGTTGCTTAGCAAGGAAAGGGGCTTTCCGGAAGCGACTGTATCAACATACCCATGCAACTACCAGAGCCAGTTTACAGTCTGAAGGGGACACACTGGCCGTCCAAAGTCACGGTATGACGTCTGACATCCGGACATCTGCTCCGCCAGGGTCGGGAGGTTAGGTCATCCCAGAGATGAGTCACCGAGCCCACCTTCTCCACCGGGTGAGCCTTCTCGCTCTTCGTGGGTGCGGCAGGGCCGTAGGAATCCCCCCACCCGGCCTAAATCGGTAGCACTCAGAAAACCCAGGCAGGGGAGCCTGCAAGACCAAGCCTTCCTGATTAGCACCTGATTCACCCAGGCAGTCAAGGCAGGGCGGCGACTGCCGGTAACAGGCCCCCAGTGGCCCCGGGGAAAGGCCTGCCGGAGTTTTGGTGACCCTGACCCCCGGGGAGCGACCCGTGACACACCTCACTGGGTAGGGGCTGCGCCTGCGTGACCACCGGCTCCGCCCCGTCTCGGAACGCGCAGGGCGACGGCGGCCGGGGCGGGGGTGCGCGTGCGCCCTGGGCCCGGGCCCCCGAGTAACCAGAATCCTGGAGGCCCCCGCTTCCAGGAGTCATGTCCCTGCACCCCGGCCCCCGGGAGACATAATCCCTGCGCCCCGGCCGGGCCCCTAGGAGCCGCGTCCACAAGTCCCGGGGGCCGGCGTGGCAGGCGCCGGGCTCACTCCGGGAGGGGGCGGGCGCCGCGAGCCCCTTTCCGCAGGGGCGCCTGTGCCGCTGCCCGGCGGCCGGGGAGCCCGGGGGCCGCGGGGGACAGGAGCGCAGCGGACACAGAGGCCTGGGCGCCGCCGGTCCGTGTTGCTGTTTACGCTGCGGGCGCGCAGTGCCCTCTGCCCGCCCTCCCGCTGCTCCCCCGCCCGCTCCAACATGCCCTCAGTGCGCCTGCCGCCGCGCCCCGGGCGCTAGACCGCGCGGCCGCCATGGGGAATGGGATGAACAAGGTAACGTGTCCCTCGTTCCTGCCCTCTGCCTCCACTCCTCAGCCTGCCTGCGCGGGGCTTTGCCGGCGAGGGGAGCCCTCCGCGCCCCGTCCGCGCCCCCGGGCCCCCGAGAGGCGGGGG